TATCTACATTATGATCCAAAATTCTGAGATTAAAGTCAGAATTCTAACTTTTTGCCCATACTAAACTGAAAAAAAATTTAAAAATCAGTTAACTTTTTTTTATTCTTTAAGCGGCCCTAATCCTCTTCCGTATGTGTGTTTTTTTTTTTTTTTTTTATAGATATCAAAATTACTAAAGGTTTGGTTTCTCTGTGTTTTTATTTATTTTTAGGCATGGAAAAGATTAACTTCTCAGGAGGGGAACCATTTTTGCATGAAAGGGGAGATTTCCTGGGGAAAATGGTTCAGTTCTGCAAAGTGGAGCTGCAGCTCCCCAGTGTCAGCATAGTCAGCAACGGAAGCATGATCAGAGAAAACTGGTTTCAGAAATACGGTAAGAACCGATTTTTATTTATTTTTAAATAACTAAATGTTTGAGTAAATACATTTATGAAAAATTATATTTAAAAAATGATGGTGCGGTATCTTTGCTGCCACCTCCTGGTTCAGAGCAGAACTGCTTGTTCCAGAGGTGGTTAAAAAAAACATGAGAACAACAAGGGGGAGCAACGATTGGCTGGGGGAGGGGGGTGTGGCTTTAATTTATTTTAGATAAATTAAATGTGTATGTAAACAATGATTGAGCAACTTAACGTTGATAAACAAGCTTCAAAAACACAGTATTGAACATTTTCCTGAACATGAGGTCATATAAACATCATGTACACAAAGGCAACATAACGACGGCTTGTTTTTGTTCATTTAACTTGCCTCTTTTACAGTTTCAGGATTCCGACTGTACAGGTAAAAATAAGTTTATTCATCCAGTTATAATCAAATTAAATCAAACAAGTTAATATTTAAAATTTCTCATATTAAATAGAATCTAAACAATCCAAGAAGCAATAATGTTGCATCAACGAGATACACTTAGATATTTCCAACCGACGCAAGTTGGTTTAATTAATGGTCAAAGTATGTTGATCTTGAGTTTTAAGGATTCTTGCCTTTTTTCAAACATCCCGCCCGAACACAGCAACTCTTCATGTTCAGACTTTGCATTTCCTTTAAGCTACAGCCTGAACCAGAAGATAAAAGGAAATAAACACTTGTTCAATAAATGGAAATACATTTTCCACACCATGATCTACACAATATTCTATTTAACACATCTACCAATTGTTTTAAATTAACTAAAGATGCTTGATTTCCTTTTTTTAGTGTATCTGACAGCCAGTTGGATCTAAAACTGAATAGGAGTTTTTATTAACTAATGCAGAAAAATCTAGATAGACATAAATAAACTACGGCAATGTATTTCTGTGAGTAGTAGGAATCTATTTCTGTTAGATTTATATTTTTTTCTACTTGATTGCTGAAGCAAACCATGTTTTTAAAGACAGTCTAAGTTTTTAAAAGTTCCTCCGATAGCTTATTGGCTTCATTTATCGATGTCATGCACTAGTAATGTGGGAATACATTGATTTTGCAATATATTGTGATTTTCGTCGTATTGATTTTTTAAAAAGAAAACAATTTTACCTACAACAATGAGCGAAAAAGGGCCACCTCTGCACAGCCACTCTGGCAGATACAGTAGTAGCCGTTCAAAACTTTCCCACTTTTCTTGATGGGCCCTCGGCTGGTCTCCTTCAATTCCTTTTTAAACATCAATCTTTCTACTAAAACTATCATGAAACGAGGACAGATGCACCCAGCATTCAGGAGAGACAGTCAGTAGGAAAGTTCAAAACGTTTATTAAAGGAATAG